GGCGAAGCCGCTAAGGAGTATGTGGTGACGAGGGGGGGCGGGGGCGCCTCAACCCCGCTTGAGTGCAACGGCGGCCTCTCTTGAGTGTAACGGCGGCCTTCTTGAGTGTAGCAAACCACGACAAACAAACGAACCACGAGTCCATGGGGGATGCCGTCGGTCGACCCGGGGGGCACCTTAATCCGAGGTCGTGCGATATATCCCTATGGGCCGATCAGGGGGCCAGTGACCACTCGTAGTGCTCAGATCACTACAGACTGCCCGATCACCTGTGTGACTGATCAGCGGTATACTGGGAGGTCGGCAACCATGGCGGCGAAGCCGCTAAGGAGTACGTGGTGACGAGGAAAGACGGGGGCGCCTCAACCTCGCTTGAGAGTAACAGCGGCGCTTGAGAGTAACGGCTGCGACGAAGCCGCTAAGGAGTATGTGGTGACGAGGGGGGGCGGGGGCGCCTCAACCCCGCTTGAGTGCAGCGGCGGCCTCTCTCGAGTGTAACGGCGGCCTTCTTGAGTGCAACAAACCACGACAAACAAACAAACCACGACAAACAAACAAACAACGACAACAAACAAACCACGACAACAAACAACAAACGACAACAAACAAACCACGACAAACAAACAAACCACGACAACAAACAGAGCACGATATACGAAGGAACCGCGTCTGAGGGCGGGGAGATCCTCAATCAGGTTTGCGAGGGCGCTCAGAACATCTGGGGGTCCAGCCTCCCTCCCCCCCTCAACCGATTCCCTCTTCCTCCTCCTCTTCCTCTTCCTCCTCCCTCTCTTCTCCGGATGCCCAGCCTCCCGCCCTCCCACAAACGACCTCTTTCGTCTCCTCCTCCTCCTCCTCCTCCTCCCACTGCGCGCAACTCACGCGAATAAAACGAATAGAACAAAGAAAACGAATAAAACGAATAAAACTGGTAGAACTAATAAAACGAATAAAACTGAATAAAACGAATGAAACGCACAAAACTAATAAAACCAATAAAACGAATGAAGCGGCATAAAACGAATAAAATGAATAAAATGAATAAAGCGAATAAAGCAAACTAAAACGAATAAAACGAATAAAGCAGAATAGAATGAGTAAAACGAATAAAACGAATAAAAATAGAAACGGGAATTTATATGCCTTATTTTTCTTATTCGTTTTATTCGTTTTATTCGTCTCATTCGTTTTATTTGTATTATTCGTTTTATTATTTGTATCCGTTGTATTCGTTCTATTCGCTTCATTCACTTGTGGGTTTTATTGGTTTGATTGGTTTTATTTGTTTTATTTGTTTTATTCGTTTTGCTCGTCTGATTCGCTTTATTCGTGCTATTGTTTTTTCTCCGTTTTATTCGTTTTATTCGTTTGATCCATTTCACTAGCTTTATTTGTTTTATTCGTCTGGTTCGCGTCTCTTCCTCCTTCTCCTCCTCCTCCTCCTCCTCCTCCTCTCCGGGGGTCCAGCAGCCCTTCCCCCCTCGAACGACCTCTCCTCCTCCTCCTCCTCCTCCTCTCCTCCTCCTCTCCCTCCCCCGCCGCCTCCTTCTCCTCCTCCCACTGCACGCGGCTCGCGCGAATAACACGACTAAAACGAATAAAACGGATACAACGGAATAAAACTAATACAACGGATAAAACGAATAAAACGAATAAAACTAATAAAATCAATAACACGAATAAACGACGATACCAATAAAACAAACTAGAGCGAATACAACGAATAAAACCAATACGAATAATAAACAAATAAGACGAATAAAACGAATAAACCGAATAAAGCGGAATAGAACTAGTAAGATGAATAAAACGAATAAAACGAATAAAACGGAATAACATTAATACAGCAAAATGAAACAAATAAAACGGAATACAATGAATAAAACGAATAAAACAAATAAAATGAATAAAACGAATTGAGAGATCAAATAGTACAACAAGTTTCTCCCCATGTATATGTATATGTATATGTATATGCATATGCATATGTATAGGTATATGTATATGTACATGTATATGTACATGTACATGTATATGTATATGTATATGCATATGTGTATGTGTATGTGTATGTATATGTATATGTATATATATGTATGTGTGTTCGCATATGTATATGTATATTTGTATGTATATATGGATATATACATGTATGTATATGTATATGTATATGTACATGTATATGTATATGTATATGTATATGTATATGTATATGTATATGTATATGTATATGTATATGTCTATGTCTATGTACACATGGCGCCTTGTTTACTTCCACCGTCATCCGCCCGCTTTCCGCTGGCGGAGGCGGCCTCGTTTTACTTCCGCGGGCTTCACCGCACTTCCGCCGTCTCCCGCCGAGGAAGAGATGCTAACTCTTTTCGATCCTCGACCGTGAGGCCGTTTCTGGAACGCTTCATATTGATATCAATTTTCAAAGAATTCAACTTTCGCTCTGAGTCGCCCCCGGATGGTCCTGGGGCCCAGCGAGGATCCCTGGAGGTTAAGAATATTATTTGTTTTCCGTCGCGATTTGTTTTTCGCGACGCGATGACGTTCGGGCTGTAGGCTATAGGGTCGAAGGTCGATGTCCGGATCTGTCCTGGGGCGCGTTGTGGCCAGAATGTCCAGGGAAATCCAGCCGTGACCGCGAGAAGCCGGCCGGAGGATCAATGATCTAGATCCTTGACGTTCGCCTTGGAGATCAAAAGTCGCCCCCCAGACCTGTGTACAGGTGTGCGTTCCGGCTAAGATGTCGATGCGAGTCGCGCAGTGACGACGGGGAGGTCCAGAACATGTCCCGAAACGCTTCGAACCTCGAAGTTCCCCCTCTCCCGTCTGTTCGGCACTACCCGGACATAATTGTGCTCTGTATATGTCGGTCCGACGGGGGCGAATTGCGCGTTCCTAAATCGTATAGTATGAGCGACGTGGCTGGCGCTTTCTAGCCAGACCGTTTGGGCAACGATATACCATAAGAGGTGTTTGCTATATGTTCGGACCAGACGTGCGCTACCATCATAACCAGGTAGTGCACGTATGTATGTTTGCGCCCTATTTGTGGCCATAGAGAGGTTTGTGTTAGATGCCCGGATCGGACGTGCGTCACCAACATAATCACATATAGGGCTAGTATGTCCTTCTGCGTCCCATCAGTGGTTGCCAGATGAGGTGCGGGCCATGTGCTCGGATCGGACGTGCGTCACCGACATACTCACATAGTGCTAGCATCTCCTTCTGCGTCCCACCTGCGGTTGTCATGAAGTGATGTGTGCTACATATCCAGATCGGACGTGCGTCACCAACATAACCAGATATTGATAGTACGTCCTTATGCGTCCAATTCGTGGTTGCCATAGGAGGTTGCTGCTACATGTTTGGGCGGACGTGCATCGCCAACATAATCACATAGTACTGACGTGTCCTTCTGCTTCCCATCGGTGGTTGGCATAAGAGGTTTGTGCTACACGACTCGCGTCACCAGTATAATCCCATAGTGCTGGCATGTCCTTCTGCGTCCCAGGAGTGGTTGCCATGCGAGGTTTGTGCCACATAGTTGGATCGGACGTGCGTCACTACCATGATCACAGAGTGCTAGGGCGTCCTTCTGCGTCCCATCTGTGGCTGCAGCGGGCGCCCAGAGGAGCGTCTGGCGGAGGGGTTGCCAGCAGACGTCTGAGCTACAGTTTCTCATCGAACGTACGTCGCCAACACCACCACGTTCGGCGTCATCCCAACACACTTCTACTACATGTGCGTCGCCCTCCAGGGGCGACGCGCGCACCGAGAAATCTTACAGTGCATGCGTCGCGGCGGGAGCTCTCTGGCCACACCGCTCGGGAAACGATATGCTACAAAATGGGTATACTAGATGTTCGGGTCGGACGCGCGCCTCCAAGGAGAACATCTAGTACTGGTGTGCCTTCGTGCGTCCCATCACATCGTGCCCGCAGTGTCCTCCTGCGTCCCGGCTGCGGCTGCCGCGGGCGCCCGGAGGAGCGCCTGGCGGAGGAGGTCCGCGCGGCGGCGGAGCTGGCCCAGCGGGCGCAGGCGGCCTCCCGCGCAGGGCGGGCGGGCCGGGCGCGGCGGCAGCTCTGTCGTCGGGGGCGCCGGAAAGGAGGAGGAGGAGGAGGAGGACAGGGAGGAGGAGCAAGAGGAGGAGCAGGAGGAGGAGGAGGAGGAGACGGAGGAGGAGGAGGAGGCGGAGACTGACTGAGGCGGTGGAGAAGGAGGAGGAGGAGGAGGAGGAGGAGAGGAGGAGGAGGAGGAAGGAGGAGGGAGGAGGAGGAGGAGGAGGAGGAAACTGACTGAGGCGGTGGAGGAGGAGGAAGGCGGAGGAGGAGGAGGCGGAGGAGGAGGAGGAGGAGGAGGAGGAGGAGGGGAAGGGTCTCGGTGGTTCAAAGATGGGGTTTTGAGGGATGGTGTCGGGACGAGGTGCCTAAAATAATGTAAATCCACCCTTGTATTCCTTCCTATCCGTAGGACCCCATCCTTCAGGACCCCATCTCGGAACCACCAAGGGTCGGAAAAAGCACGGCATCGCATGTCTTGGCACGTCGGTTTGACTTGGGCATTTGACGGTTGGTGCACGGCGTATGCCGTTATTTGCCGCGAATCAGTTGCTGCTACTTGCAGCTAGTCCGCCAACATTTTGACGAACGTCGGGGGAGCGAGCATCGCAACAGCGTGCGGAGGGAGCGTCCACGGAGGAGACGGAGCCCGTGCCTTGGCAGGGCGGGCACATGCACGTGAAGCTGGACCAGTGCGCTCAGGGCTCCCAAAGGGATGCGCACTTTGGAAGTAGACCTGGAGCAGCACATGTAAGGTACTGACTGTGCAAGCGACAGGGAGGAGAAGAGGGAGGGGGCTGGACCTGACGACGATCGGCGGCAGCGTGCCAATTTTTCACACTACATTGCTTCCGCCTTAGGGCAGTCGTAATTTGCAGCGTCGATCCGAGGCGAGGTGGCCGAGCGCCGACGAAAAGTACCAGGAGTTGCATGGGCCATTCTGGCTCCGCCCTGGTCTCGCTTCGCCGGGGCTCGCTTCGCCGCGTCGAGGCGAACTGGCTGAGCGAAGCGAGGCCCAGCCGAAGAAAGAACTGTTCCGCGCCGAGGGGGGTTGGGGGTTGGAACGCCGAGGAGGAGGAGGAGGAGGAGGAGGAGGAGGAGGAGGCGGAGGCGGGGGCGGAGGCGGAGGCGGAGGCGGAGGGGGAGAAGGAACCGGGCGGGATGCGCTCCGACCGCCACAACGCATTTCTGTTCACGCGCACCTCCCGCGGCCGCTCTGGCCCGAAAGTGCACCCAGAGGGGGTGGCGGGGGGAGGGCCGCTGCTGCTGGGCCGCGCGCGCCTCGCGCGCGCGCGCCCGCGGCCTTCCCCCTCGTCGGGCGTTGCCAGGGGTGGCCCCGACCCGATCGGAGGGAGTCAATGTACAGTCAGCCCGCGTAGTGAGGATGAGCGACTTTCCAATACCGATGCCCTTTGCATTCCTGCCCCTTCGGCCCATCATTGGCGGCTTTCGCTGGCCAATCTCGCTCGAAAACGTTAACATGGCCCTGCAAGGCCCTCGCATCCTTACCGCGCATCCTTCACATTCGGGTTGGCTGTATAACGGACACGCGCTGAGAGGGTTAATGGGGGATGAGGAAGGCTTCTTAGAGACACCCCCACTTCTCAGAAGACGCGGGCCTTATCTACAGATGTAGGGCTAGCAGCCTGCTTCTAAGAAGCCTCCCCCTATCCCTCTACCTTCTTGTGCGTACCGCCACCCAGGAGCCACGGAGGTCAGCGCAGAGATTCGGTGTGTAGACGCTCCAGCGTCTACACACCGAATCTGGGGAGCTGGGGCGTCTGTGCACCGAGCCCCCTGGCCGACCGGACGACGTGACAGTGGAGACCCAGGGGGTCCTGGGGTCTCAGGGTTGGGTTTTTTGTGTGGAAGGTTTCTTGTGGACTGGCCTCCACCGTACGCGGAGCCCCTACCAGGCCCAGACCACTGCGGGCCCCACCGCCTCCGAGGCCCCGGGAAAGGGGGGGGCGTCTGTCAGCAGGAGGACACTCGGCACAGACACACGCAACAGCGCCGATGTGCACGAACGCCTGGGAAAACGCAGGGAAAGAGGACGGGGAAGAGGAACGTCCAGGGAACCACGGGAAACGCACGCGGTCCTCGACACCTGTACCTATCTGCACATCTGTGGGCCCCTGGGCCCCTGGGAAGGGGGCGCCCGGAGAGCCGCTGGGGCCGCCTCGGGCGAGGGCCCGCCTCCGTCACCGCCCGACCTCCTTGCGCCCCGGGGCGCACCCCTGGGGGGCCGGGCCGCACATGGCGCGCAGCCCCTCCAGGAGCGGAGGGCAGGGGGGGGCAGCAAGTCGACTAGACGTGCACACTGTTCATTTCTCATTCTTCGAAATTTCCCTGATCTGTTGGGATTCCTTTCATTTCTAATTGTTCTGTCCTGGGCCTCTTCCTGGCCACTAGGGGGCCAGGAACAATCAGAAACGAGCACAATTAGAAATGAGCACGATTAGAAATGAACGACGTGTAAGAGTGACCTTTCGCCAGAGTGACCTTTGGTGCGGGCACAGATAGGCCCTCAGATGGCTGAAAACGAAGCGGCAGCAGCGGCTTGCGCGCCCAGGTTTGGTCTCCCCGCGGCCCCCAAGAAGCCGCGCACCAAAGGTCACTCTTACCCAGGGTAACTCTTGCGTGTAGCCGAGAAAGGTACAGTATCTTCTCGAAGAAGCAATAACGCCCCAAACATAAACTTTTGGCGCACCGCGCGGATTTCTTGGATCCGCGCTCCAGCTCCGCCGGCGGCGCCTCCGGCGCCGCCCTCGGCGCGCTCCGCGCGCCAGGGATGCGGAGCGCCAAAAGTTTATGTTCATGCAGTTGTTTACTATGTTTCTTCTTCTTCTTCTTCTTCTTCTTCTAAAGAAGGTTCAGTAAATCCTTATCGTGTCGACGCAGCGTCGACCCCGCCGCGGGCGTTCCAGGTTGGACGCCGCCAGTGGCCCAGAATCGGTCAGAACGGAACGATCTCACGATCGAGAAGCCGCCGATCGTTCAGGGTTGAACAAGTCACGCGGAGTCAGAAACCAACGCCGAGGTCGTCACGACACGAACTTGTGGTACAGATCCCGCTACTCCCCAGACCTCTCCTGGGCTGCGTTCTGCCCAGGAGTTGAGGCGAATCCAGCCGTGGCAACGAGGGCTCTCTTAGGAGGCCTTGCAAAAACGAAAACGAGGCAAGGGTAGCGGTACCACGAGATCCGTCTGGGGTCTTCGGAAGTCCCGACCTTTCCCCAGGGCCAGCTTTCCATCCCGAGCCGTCGTTTGGCAGTCCCAAGGCCCAGCGAGGGCCCCCCAGAGGCTGAAAACGTGGAAGCACCACCGTGCCGAACTTTTCCATACGTTGGAGGTCTTGAGATCGGTACGTTTCCCTCCGAGAACCCAGGCCTCCCAAATGGGGTCAGCAGATGGGGTCGGAGGATCGCGCCGCGTCGCCGATGCGGCGGCGCTGCGGCGCGACGTGGAGGCCGAGGCTCTCCACGCCGCTGCGCCCCCGATGCGTCGGCGATGCGGCGCTCTCCTCCGGACCCCGTCTGGCCGGACCCCGTCCGGGAGGCCCGGGAGCACGGGGCCCGCGGCCGGGCGGGCCGGCGGCAGGCAGGAAAGGAGGAGGAGGAGGGAGGAGGAGGCGGAGGAGGAGGAGGAGGAGGAGGCGGAGGAGGAGGAAGAAGCGAGGAAGCGAGGAAGCGAGGAAGCGAGGGAGGCGAGGAGGCGAGGAGGCGAGGAGGCGAGGAGGCGAGGAGGCGAGGGAGCGAGGAGGCGGAGCAGAGGAGCCGCTCCCGGCGCCGGGCGCGCAGCCGCTCGCGCCGCGCGGGCGCGGGGCGGCGCGAGCGCAGCCGCTCCCGGGGCGGCGGGGGCGGCCGCAGGGCGGCGAGCCGCTCCCGCTCGGAGCGCGCGCGGCGGCGGTCGAGGCCCCTCGGGGGCTCGGCGGCGGGGGCTCGGCGGCAGCGGCCAGGGCCGAAGTCGGGCATGTCCCTCTCCAGGGGGAATCGACTTACAAAAAGACACAAACGTGATCCCGGGAGCGATGTTTTGGGACTATTATGTCCGATGCTTTTCGATTGTGACTGGACTAGTTGTCGTTGTTCTTCCACGGTCCGCCTGTAGGGGGACATGCCCGACCTCAGCCGGGGCGCGCGTCGACTCCTTCGGCACGATGTTCCGATTCGATCTGTCGATCGGTTCCGGCTCCGATCCGATTCGGCCTCGCATTCCGATCTGGGCTGCGGTCTCTCAGGGGAGGGCCTTGCCAGCCTGCCGATCTCCGCCGATCCGACTTCTGCCGACTAGGCTGCCGAGGTGCGCCGATCCGATTCGTTTCGATCGCCGATCCGACCTTTCGATTCTGGGCTCTCCTGCCAGAGCGGTTGCTCGCGGCGGTGGTTCGGCGCCACCAGGGTGCTGTCGTTGCATCTTTGCACCTCTGTTGTCCTATGAGTTGCAGCCTTTCTTCTGCACTTCGACGCAGATTCGAGTTGGATTCGACACGGACTCGACACGGATGCGACACGCATTCGACACGGATTCGACGCGGATCGCGGGGCGACGGGACAGGCAAGATCCCCGGCGGCGGTGGCGGCGGCGTCGGCGACGTTGACGACGACGACGACGACCTTGAGATCTTGGCGTCACATTTTTTCACAACGGGCGATTGTTGCTGTTTTTCGGGCCCTGGGACCCTCACGGATCGATCTGGCTCGACTTTACAAAGAGCCGCAGGAAGCCGGGGTCCAGAGCCCTGGTCGAGGCTTTTACAGTGCTGCATCTCTCGTGACGTCGGACCTCAGGGGACGACGCCCACCACCGCGGGGGCGGCGATACAGCGGCGGCGTCGACGGCGATGGCGGTGAAGGCGGCGGCGTCTGACAAGAGCTGCGCTGCCGCTCTCCGCGGCGGCGGGGGATATGCCCGCCCCGCGCGGTCGTTTTGTCGGCACGGGAGGCCTTCGTGGGCGCTCGCGGGCCTTTCTGGGAGGCCTCTTGTCTGGGGGGCCCCCAAGCGGGGTGGTGACCACACCGTGTGGTGAGCCGGTGGGGATTCGGGGTCACCGCACGGTTTTGGGACTCGGGTCGGTCTCCGAGGGTGTCTCGGACGACCTGGGCCTCTAGGGTCCACAGAACGTGTGGTGACGGACCTTGCGGTCAGGTCGTTGGGGATTCCGAGGTCACCGCCGGTTCTGTCACCACACGGTTTTGGGACCCCCAACCGTTGCCACGGCTAGATTCTCCCCCCCTGAAGCTCTGGTCAGAACGCACCCCGCAGGGCCCCTGATTCGAGGTCGATTCCTGCCCCGCACGATCTCCGATTCAGATTTCCTGGCGGCTCGATGCCGCCCGATGCTGGTACAGCATTGTTGTGCATCCTTGCGCAGCCGATCCGATTCGATTCCGACTCCGTGCCGATGCGGCTCGATCCGACGCGTTTTCCGATCCGATCTGGTTTCCCGATTCGATGCTGACCGATCCCGCCGCGAGGTCCAGGGAGGCGATTTTCCAGGGTGGCCACAAAGAGAATGGGTCCTGGGCGTGCTTCGCCTGTCTCGGACTCCCCTTCCCAGGCCCAAGAGGACCGTTCAAAGCACGACTCGGGACGGGGAGCTGGAGAGCTGGTCCTGGAGGCCGTTTTTTCCCAACCATCTTGTGGTGGTGTTGGGTCCGAGTCTCTTCTCCTCCTCTGCTCCTCCTCCTCCTCCTCCTCCTCCTCCTCCTCCTCCTCCTCCTCCGCCCTCCTCCCACACCTGCCTCTGCCCTCTGCATGCACATCCTGGCACACCCATCACACGTTTCGTAGCCCCATACTTAGGGAGCTCCGCCGAAGGCCCCTCCGGCACACCACTCACACGTTTCGTGGCTCCACAGGGAGCTCAACCGAAGGCCTCTGCGGCACAGTCTGCGTGGCGGCACCGCTCCGTTGGGGCGCACCTCTCGCGCGTTTCGTGGCCCTATAGGGGGCTCCTCCGAAGGCATCAGGGGCAAAGTCCGCATGGCAGCACCGCCACATTTCGGCGCACCCCTCACGCGCTTCGTGGCCCCATAGGGAGCTCCACCGAAGGCCCCAGCGGCAAAGTTCGCACGCCGCCACCTTGCCATTCTGGCAAATCTCTCACGCAAGTCGTTTCCACCTTTGCATCACTTGCTTTGCGGTACTCGCAGCTGCATCTGGTTCGGCCCTTCGCCCAGATGGTTTGATTCCCTGGCGATAGCGGTCATGGCCAGGCGAAGGGGGGGAGGGGGGCAGGGGGGCCGGACACGTCGCGGTTCGCGCCGGCGCCGTCTGGTGGAATTGCTCAATGCTGGCCGATTCCCAGACGGCGCTGGCGCGAATTGTGACGTGACCAGGGTGGGGCGGGAGAGAAGCGGGGGCTGGGGCGGGGCCGGTCACCAGCGTTCTCGCGAGTAATGGCCCTCCTGCCACGGCAGACGGAGGCGTCGCGCTCATGTCCTTCTCTTTGCGTTCAACGCCCAAGCATGGGCTCGCGTGTGTCTGCGAAGTTTTGGTGCCCTCGCTGAACGTTGCAGGGTTGAGGCCGCGGTGCTGGCGAGAACCTTTCTATAATCTATGAGCATCAACCTGCAAATGCTTCTGCATGTGCATACGGACGGACGCCCAAGGGAATGTGGGGTAGGGCATGCAGCCAGCTTCTCAGATCTCTCAGATAGTGCAGGAACCCCTATGTATGCAGGCCCGTTTGGAGGCAACCTCCCCACGATGATTGTTCATCTCCCGATTAGCCCGCAGAGCTTTGGGGCAGCTTGCGAAGGTCAGAGTCGAAGGCTGTGCCCCTGAGCTAGATCTCTTATCGTGTGCACGGTCAGGGGCTCTGGCTCAGCGTGTCGCTCCGCCGGTTCTGGCCCACCCACGCTTCGGCGCGACGTGCCATCCCCTTCCTTCAGGGGCAACGATAGGGGGGGATGGGCATAGGGGGGGATGCATCGACCCCCAATCGCCCATAGATCGCCGATCGGGGCCCGATTGCCCCAACCTGCCCAGCAAGGTGCGGATTCACTATCGGGGGCCTATCGCCGATCTATCGGCGATGCATCGCCGACTCCATGTCGATGCATCCCCCCTATATGCCAGTCCCCCCCTATCGTTGCCCCTCATTCTTGGTACCCCGAGCGTCGGATGCAACTCCTGGGAGGTCAAATTCTGATTTTGCCCTGGTCCGAAATCCGGCTTAATCCAGCTTAATCCGGCTCAATCCGGCTTAATCCGGCTTGCTCCCGCTTAATCCCGCTTCATCCCGCTTAATCCTGCTTGGTCCGGGGCCCACTCCGGCGTAAGAGCTCCCAAACGGGGCTTGATCCTCCTACACCTTTCCGCCGAAGACCTCCCAGTAGTGGCCTCCGAACCGAGCGCCCAGAGAGTCAGCGCCCCGAGCCTCTCTGGGCCTCCCGCCCCGTGGAGCGGAGCGGCACGCTGTCCGCCCGCAGGGCGCAGCGTGCCCCTGGGGCCGCCGGCCGCAGGCGGGGCCCGCTCGGAGGGGCGGCCTCCCCCGAGGCGCTCGGGCGCCGGCCTCGGCGGGGGGGGCAGTCTCGGAGGCCCCGCGTCGGAGGTCGGGCGAGCGGGTCCTCTGCAGGGGGGGCCTCAGAAGCGCACGCCGTATACAGTCGGCCCTGATGAGCAGGTCGGCCCTGCCGAGTCAAAAGGGCAGCCTCGTGTCCTGTCTTTGGAGGCCCGTGCCCTTTGCACTCCCACGGCAGCGTGGCCGTCGGAAGGGTCTTGTGTCCTCTCGCGTGTCCTCTCCAACCAAGTCCGACTGCAGTGCGCGCGAGCGTTTGGTGCGGGATGCGCACGTCGTGCAATTCTCTGCCCGTGGCTCCCACGCGCCATGCGCCACAGGATGAACCGTTGCCTTTTCTGGCTACACCATGTGCGAGAGATCCGCTTTGCGGGGAATCGGCTCCGGGGTCTGTGGCGAGGCGCGCGAGGGCGCCGCGGAGGCGCGCGCGGGCGGGCGGAGGGGCGGAGCCCCGGGCAGTCACCGTCTGTGGCTTTGCCCACGCCCGCTCGCGCAGAGAACAGGGCCGGGTCGCCGCCAGGGGCGCGAGGAGGAGGGTCGTGCGTCGCGGTCTGGGCTGGAGAGCTGCCCTTCTCCGAGGCGGCATCGCGGGGGCGCGGAGATCACCGCGCGTCGCACCTCGCGGGGCGCGATGCTGGAAGTTCGGTGGCCCAGGGGCAGAAGGTGCGGGAGGGGTGCGGCCATTCTCGGCCTCCGGGGGCCCTCGCTGGGCCCTGGAGTTGTCTCGAAGCGGCTCGGGAGGAAGCGCAGGCCCTGTGGAGAGGGCCAGGAAGTCCGGGGGCCCCGTGTGGTAAAAATGGAGGCATCAGGGGGCATCATGGAGGGCTGGGGCTGGGGCCTTTGTGGTTCTGTTGGCCGGCCGCCCGCCAGGTCGAAGTCGCACAGGCCGCGCAAGCGTTCGCGCACCCCGGAGCGCGTCCCCCCGACCAGCTTCGCGGACTACGAGCCCGCCCCGGACGGCAGCGGCTGGTACGTCTACAAGAAGACCGGCAAGTGGAAGTACCACCCCGAGACTGGCCTCTACCTGCACATCAAGTCCAGCGTCTACTACATCCAGAAGGATGGCGACCCCAAGGCCTTCCGGAAGATCGAGGACGACGACGACCCGACCATCAGGAAGATGAAGCAGTCGGAGGATCGGGGGCAGCGTCGGGGCGGGGGCAGGCTCGGGGCGGGGACGCATCGACGCCCCGTCTCCCGCTCATCGCCGCCGAGAGGGGCCCGGTAGCCCACCCCGCCCAGGAGCGTGCGCGTGCGGACTCCTTCTCGGGCGACCATCGGCGATATGATATCGCCGATGCCAGCTCGTGGCTGTCCCCCCTGAGCCGGTCCCCCCCCCCCCCAAACACCAGGCCTCCGAGGCCTTGAGGTCAAAATGCGGGTACGGGGTCCCCAGAGCTCTGGAACGCTGCCCGGGCACCAGCTTTTCGCACCGTGTAGTTCTCTGCCGGTCCCAGGGCGTGGTGAGGGCCCCCCGAGGCCGAGCATGGCCAGAGTTGTCCCGCAGTGTTCTTGTCGCAGCTGGAGGGGTCTGGGCCCATCGCCCCCCCCCTCTGCCGAGGAGATGCGGAAGGCCATCCAGTCCACCGAGTTCGTGGCCTTCGGCGAGAGCGGCCAGGGCGCTCCCGAGGGTGCCCGAGACGGTCGAAGGGTCGGCCACGCGCCGACAGGGGTGGGGGTAGGGGGATGGCTTCTTAGATATTTGGACGTAAGGCCCGCGCCTTCCAAGAAGCTGCCTCCTTCTAAGAAGCCCTCCCCCTCCCTCCAACCCCTTGTGCGTACCGCCAACCGCCAGACGGGGGGGGGGGTATTGGGGAAAATGTGGGGGTGCGAAGCTTGCTGCGCATGCAGCTGGTCTCGGCCCGCCGCTGCGCCCTTTCCTCGATAGCTTGTTGCCTCCGGCGCCGGGAGGCGCGGGGGAAATCAGCCACGTGAGTCGATTCGCTAAGCCCCCCCTCCATTACCACGGTCGGGATCTTTTGCCTGGCGTGTCGCGCCGCCCGTTCTGGTCCACCGCGCTTCTGCGCGACACGCTATCCACGTCCTGGTCCCCAAGCGTCAGCGTCCTGAGCCCTTCCCGGCCTTCGCCCTGCGAAGCTGAGCAACACGCTATCCGCTAGCAGGTCAATAGCGAGTCGCCGGGGCCGCCGCCGCGACACGGAGCTCCTGATTATAACCCCCACAGAACTGCGGGGTAGTAATTGACTCAAGACGTGGATGATCGTACTAACATGCACGGCCCACCACGCAGCTATGGTGGGATGTGGCCTCGGATGCTTAGCGCTCTCCGCGCTGCAAGATACAGTCTGGTGCCGAACATCAAGATCATATTGAACACCCCTAGCGACTAACTACCCCTAGCACCTCCGAAAAACTTAGGACAAGCAGGGGCCATACATAGTACTGCCGATGCTTCGTGAGGGTGCGGTCCAAATGGCGACCTCCCCAGCGCACACGCTAAGCAACGGTTCCTGACCGTGCCTCCCCGCTTTTGTCCGACCCGAGGTGCCAATGCTCAAACATGCAGAGAGTGTTACAACACGACCGATGCAAGGAGTATGAAGGGGAGGATTGCGCTCGGGTCCGACGCTGTCAGACGTGCCTGTCGTAACCGAACCAATTCAAGCACGAAGCAAAGCCAAGCCAAACACGACCCACGCTTACACCAAGCGGCGGCAACAAACAATGGTGCAGGTTCCATGGAAGCACTAAGCAAAACCAAGTTCACGAGGATCGACTTGCTCCAAACATGCGACAGCCATACCCCAAATGACCATACACAGGCAGACCACTCTAACCTTGTTTGGGCATGTTCAAAAGCATTAACCGGTGGGTTGCTGCCGTGCACTTCTTACGCACGCCCAGCGACCCCAAACGCCCGCCGCACGCACACAGGCCTTATCTGGCCTCCCAGAGCCTGAAAACATTCAAAGGGAATCCAATTGTAACTCCCAGACATGCGATGCCTTGATCTTTTTTTCCTACGCGGTCCCCGGAAGTCCCTTCCCGCTCCCCGGGGCCAGCGTTTCATCCCGAGCCAGTTTTTTGACGCTCCCGGAGCCAGGCGATGGCCCCCGAGGCCGGATCAGCGGCACCACCATCATAACGGGTACCCACTCTAACCGAAAGTTGCCTCTTCAGGGCCTCTCTCTGGCATTGCAGCGTTGCCCACATCGGGGATGGGTTGGGTTCGGCGGGTCGCTGGCCACAGTACCCGTGAGTGGAGTCCCCGTTGGAGGGGCGCTGCCCGAAAATTGCCAAACGCCTCCCGTCGTGAATCTCTCGCGACGCGAGCATGTCTGGGCCCCTGCCCGTCCGACCCGAGGTGCTGGCGGCTCCTCCCCGCGGGGCGCCGCCCCGCAGGAGGCGGCCGCGCCCGCCCCGGCTGCCAAGGCCGAGGCGGGGCCAGCGAGGCCGCCGGAGCCCGCCGTGCAGCAGCAGCAGGCGAAGGAGGAGGCCAGCCTGGGGCACTGCAGCTTGAATCCTCCTCCTCCTTCCCGTCCTCCTAACTCCTCCTCCTCCTCCTCCTCCTCCTCCTCCTCCTCCTCCTCCTCCTCCTCCTCCTCCTCCTAACTCCTCCTCCTCCTCCTCATTCCTCCTCCTCTTCCTCATCCTCCATTCCTTCTCCTCGCAAATAACCTCTCGCACCCCGAGGCCAGTCTTTAGGGCGGGCCGGGCGTTTCGCCTGAGACTTCCTCATCATTTATGACCCTGAAGCTTAAACATTGACAACAGTTTCACAGATGGAGGGCGGGTCGTTTTCAAAATGTGGCTCTCGCTCTTGGCGCCGCGCAGATTCCTTTTTTAATGTGTGAGAGCCTCACGGATTGAGGGGGGGGGGGGTTCAGAATGTGGTTCTCGCTTTAGCGCATCACACATTCGTTTTCAACATTTGCAAGAGTTTCGCGGATTGAGGGCGGGTCGTTTTCGAAATGGGGTTATCGCTTTAGCGCCGCGTACATTCGTTTTAAACATGTGCAAGAGTTTCACGGAATGAGGGCGGGTGGTTTCACCATGTGGTTCTCGCCTTAGCGCCGCGCACATTCTTGATAAAGAACTGCAAGAGCTTCACGGATTTTCGCGGATTCCGATGATCGGCGTACCAGAAATTGTGTTTAGGAAGGACTCGCGATCATGAGGGCGCAACAGTTACCATGAATCGCGGTGTTGAAGCCCCAGGAACGGCGTTCTGGCACGATTCAGGATCCTTAACACGCAACCGTTAAGTTTTTCCGTGGCGTTGGAATGCCGAGAACAATGTTTTGGCGTGCTTCAGGATCTTCAAACGGTTGTCTTCCAACGAGGCAGTTCCCTCTGTGGAAATGAGCCGTTGTAGGGGCCTATGAAGAGGCAGCTTGGGGGGAGGGCTTATTCCAACATCGTTGGTGACTCTTGGGTTCACATTGGTCATCCTCCTCCTCCTTCTCCCCCGCTTCTTCCTCCTCCTCCTCCTACTCCTCCTCCCCCTCCTCTTCTTCCTCCTCCTCTTCCCCCTCCTCCTCCTCCTCCTCCGCCTCCTCCTCCTCCTGCTCCTCCTCCTCCTCGTCCTCTTTCCCCTCCTCCTCCCCCCCCTCTCCTCCTCCTCCTTCTCCTCCTCCTCCTCCTCCTCCTCCTCCTCCTCCTCGAGCGTGCCTGGGGCAACGCGACCCGGGGCGCTCGGCGGCGACCGCGACGATGACGCTGAGATCCTGGGGGTGCGATCTGTTCACGCCAGGCGTTCTGCTGGATTCAGGCCCCGGGGTCCCTTACAGATCGATCTGGCTAGAAGAATGGCGCAGGCAGATGAGGTCCGAGGCTCCAGTGGTAATTTGTTGCAAAGTTCTACAGTGCCAGATCTGAGGGGACGACAACGGCCAGGCATTCTGCTGGATTCAGGCCCCAGGGTCCCTCACAGATCGATCTGGCTTGAAACATGGCGCAGACAGATGAGGTCCGAGGCTCCGGTGGTAATTTTTGTGCCACGTTCTGCAGCGCCAGATCTGAGGGGACGACGACGGCCACGGCGACAACAACCACGACCACGACAACGACAACGACCACGACCACGACCACGACCACGACGACCACGGCGACGCCGCCGCCGACGATGATGCAGCTCGACGACGCTCGACGACGGCGACCACGTGCATTACCACCCTCGGGGCGCTCCTGCCGCGGGAGAGCAGCGGTCGTCGAGGATCCCTCACCCCCTCTCGCCATGACGAAAATTACGTTGTGGGTTTTTGTTGCGGTTCTCGGCGGATACCCAGTGACTTGCCAGATGATCGACGAATTCTGACAACTTGGTACGTTCCTTACCAGGATCTCGTAGCTCAGGTACTCCTCGCTCCCTCATCCCGGAATTTCCAGAGGACCCTTGCCGTACTGGTTCAGCCTCCTGAGGCCCGCACCGCGCCCAGGGACCGCAAACAGAAAGGCTCGGGACTAGTTAGACCAGACTAGACCTTGCGGGGCCTTGCGGGGCCTGCGAATTGCGCGACCGTCGGCACTTCCGTGGGCTCCCGGGAGCTTCAGCGGGGTGGTGCCCCACGCGGATCCAGACTAGACTTCGCGGCGCTCGGGGGGGCTGCAAACTGCGCGATTGTCGTCATTTCTGTGGGCTCTTGTGAGGGCCAGCGGAGCGATGACCCACGCGGATTCGGACTGGACCTTGAACTAATGTTTCCCTGTCCCCCTGCCCCTCGTCTAAAGTGCCGCCGAGGCCTCCTGTGGGCGCGGGCCCTGTTTCGAGATCCGCTGGGCTCCCGAGAACGAGTTGACGCTTCTCTCTCTCTCTCTATCTCTTGTGATGTTCCTTCACTTCCTCCGTCGTCTCTATTCAGCCGGCGCCGCGTCTCATCCAGTTCCGGGTGCGACTGTTTGCAATTGGGATCCTGCCCACCCGCCATACGGCTTATGGCTTGTGAGTGAGTGCTCTTTTGGGTCACCCGCATGGCCTCGAGTATGATCGCTTTGTCGCGGCCTGGGCCGAAGGGCTGCTCTTCTCAAGGGGTGGCTGGACGAGAGTGCGAAAATAATCGCGCTCTGCTTTCGGCGCATCGCGAAGAGCGAAGTTTGGTGCCTCAGGTCTCTTCTCTCCCTCACTCTCACCCTTCCTCCCGCATTCTCTCCCCCGTGACGCCAGTCTAGTCACCAGCGTGAAGTTTGCCATTCGATCAATAATTCGTTGGTTGCCGCGAGCCCATGCCACGCCACACAAAAAGTGAAGAAGTGGCCTCAGGTTCCCAAGGGGGAGGAGAAGATCGAAGGCAAGGTGAGGGAGTGGAACTCCGAGAAGGGCTTCGGCTTCATCGTGCCGCTGATAAAGGACGGGCCCCTGGCAGCGTCCCCCAGACCCCACAGACAAGGTTTGTGAGGCCTACCGTTGCATCAACGAGTCGTATCGTGGGTGGAGGGGGCAGAGGGAAGCGCACCCGAAGGTGGGATCGAATCCTGCGGTTTTAGGGTATTTTGGAGTGCCCGAAGGAGGGCCAGGAGCCAGAGGCAGTGAAGAGTGTCTTCGTGCACCTGTGGAACGTGGTGGGCAGCACGCACACCAACCCCGTCAATTTGCGGGAGGGCGCGCGGGTGCAGTACAAGCTGGGGGAGCAGGATCTCGACAAGGGGTCTCGCAATGTGCGGCACCAGCGCCTCCCCCCCTTCCCCTATCCTCCCTCAGTTCCAGGAGGAGGAGGAGGACGAGGAGGAGGAGGAGGAGGAGGAGGAGGAGGAGGAGGAGGAGGAGGAGCCAGGAGGAGGGGGGCTGGAGGTTGAAGGCAGATTGGAATTGGCAAGGCCTTGGGCTGCCCACAGGTAGCCCCCAGAGGCAGTCCAGGCCGACCTGTCAATAGGGCCCCTCAGGATAGTCTAGGGCGGTTTCAGTAGCCCAACCCCAGGCATGCCCGCGTCGTGGGAAAATCACGACGCGAGGTTTTCGGGCCCCAAGACCGTCAAGAATTGTTCGGGGTGAAAAACCGGCCCTGGGGAAAGGGTCGGGACTTCGGGAACCGCGTATTGAACAAACCAAGGCGTCGCATGCATGTCTTGGACCCCAGGCTGCGGAGCGCCCCTGGGGTGCCGCCGGAGGCGGCGCCAGGGTGTTGATGCCGCCATTGGCTACGCTGCGGGCCTGTTGAGACCAGCCTGGGCTACTTCAAGGGGTTGTCCGTGCTCAGTCCCCAAGCCTTGTCAGGCAGGTCGAGGGGTCGAGGCGGATGCTGGTGTTGTGCATGCTTGTTGGCGGCCCGCAGGATGGGCGGCCTAGGGCCATGGACGTGGTGATGCTTGGCAAGGACCGGCTGGCCCGAAGCCCAAGGTGCTTCGCGAAAGTGCCCAGGCCAAGGCCAGCGGGTGCATCGGGGCGGGTGGAGGACTGACATTTTTTTAGGATCGAGGATCAAAGCCGCTCGTTGGCAGCAGGAGTCTTCGACTCCCAGATCCCCATCTGCTCCCCCCCTCTACTTGCCTGCATGACTGACTTGGTTGGGCTGGCTGGCCGATTGGTTAGTAGGCCGGCAGCTCGGCTGATGGTCTAACTGGCTTTCTGCATGGATGGTTGGCAGGGCGTGTCGTGGTGGAGGGTGCCGGTGCACCCCCCCTCCCTCCCCCTGTGGGTGTGGGGTGGCTCGTCGTCGTCGTCGTTCTCGTCGTCGTCGTCGTGGTCGTCGTCGTGGTTTTCGTCGTCGTCGTCCGTCGGCGTCGTTGGCGTCGGCTTCGGCGTTGGCGTCGGCATCGGTTTCGTCGTCGGCGTCGTGGGCGTGGGCGTGGGCGTGGGCGTCGGCGTCGGCGTCGTGGGCGTGGGCGTCGGCGTTGCCGTCGCCCTCGTCGACGTCGATGTCGCCGTCGGCGTCGCCGTCGGCGTCGTCGTGGTCGTCGTCGTCGTCGTCGTCTTTGTCGTCGTCGTCTTTGTGGTCGTCGTCGTGTTTGTCGTCGTCTTTGTCGTCGTGTCGTGGTTGTCGCCCCACCATCCCATCTGGTGTGGGGGGCCTGTGGAAGCCTGGGGCCCATTCCATCTGGAGGGGGAGGCCTGTGATCGCTATGTGTATGTAGTCGTATTGGTCTGTATAATGTATATATGGATTTGCCGATGCCATTGACTATATAATTATACATATGTGTGTGTATGGAACGTATGTTATATATATATATAGAGATAGATATCTATGTAGGGTGTGCTTGTATATGTATATGTATATGTATTTACATGTGTATATGTGTGCGCATATGCTTATGTACATGTGTATATGTGTAGACGCGTGTGTGTATGTCTGTGTCTTTGTGTATGTGTATGTGATGATGCATGCGTGTGTGCAAATGTATACATTCATGTTGACGCACATGTATGTTGCATGTATGTGTAATGTACATGTGTACGTATACGCACGTATGTATACCTGTTTGTATGTGTGTGTGTGTTTCTAGATGTACATGTGATGTTTAAGTGCTCATGTAATTGTATGTAGGGCTATGTTGCTGTGTATGTATGTGTCGGCGTATATGTATGTGAACATGTATTTCGGTGTGTGTATGTATAAACATGTACATGTAGACGTATACGTACATGCACCGGTACATTGACATGTCTATGCTTATGCATATGTTTACGATTATGCGTAAACATATGTTTGTGTACATGTCATGTATGTATATATATATATATGTATTTATACACACTGGTTATGTGTATAACAACGTACACGTGTATGCGCATACAGCTGCCCATTCTACATACCTGCATACGTACATACATACATACCTACACACATACATACATACATACATACATACATACATACATACAAACATACATACATACATACATACATACATACATACATACATACGTATATGTAATGCTGATAAGACAATTACATATACATTTATATATATATGCACACAAATATGCACCTGCCTACATACAGAACTGGCGTCAGGGCCACCAGGCCTTGGGGCAGCACACTTCTCCAACATTCCCCCCAAGTAATTCAATTTCGCCCCACGGGGTCCTGGCGTCTGGCTCGTGCCTGAGGGGGTCCAACACTGTCCCCGAGGGCGATCAGAGCGCCGTCAAGGCGGTTCAAGGTGGCCTGGAGGGGTCTCAGGCTCTCAGGCAGCCCACGAAGCGCGTCAAACGGTCCAAGAGGCTCCCAAGGTCGCTCAAGAGGGCCCCAAGCTGGTCCCCAAGAGGGCTCCGAGAGGTCAGAATCGCCCCATTCCAGAGGGACATGCGCATGTTTAGCATATTTACTGTGTTGGTCTTCACTCCGTCCAGGACGACCGCACTAGCCTCCAAGACGGCCCAAGGGTTCCCCAAGAAGGCTCTAGGATGGCCCAAGAAGGTCCATGATGTACCAAGAAGCCACCAAGACGATCCAACAGGGCCCCAAGAGAGCCACAAGATGGGGAACACGGACTGATCTCTCAAGCCATGCGCCCAAAGATGACCCCCGAGACTGCCAACATGGTCGCGAGGTGCATCTCGGAGTTCGTTCCCAGTGCACAATTGGCACGCTTGAGCTAATCTGAGGGGTCACGGCCGCCCCGGCGCTAGCTCGCGTAATACATTGTTTCAGTTCTACCTTGGACGCCCATCCAGGACCACTGCGAATATTTCTGAGACCGTTTTCGACCGCTTTCCCTAAGCAACTGCACGTTCTCGGCAAGGAGTTGGATCAGCAGTCCAAGGAGAAGAAGGTTGACGCTGAGGAGGAGGATGAGGATGACTCGAAGGAGGACGCCCGCCCAGGTCCCGCCCAAGGTCGTCGTCCCAGGCTATGCCGACACGCTTAATCTTGTCTGGGGGTTGACGGCTGCCCCGGCGCTGGTTCTTGGGACAAGTTCAAGACGGCCCCAACACGGCCCAAGATGGCCCCGGGACGGCCCAAGAGGCGCCCCAAGAGGGCCCAAGACGCAAAAAGAGGGCCCCCAGAGGTGCCCCCCAGAGGCCGGGACCAGTCAACCTCAAATGGCCTTCACGACGCCCCAACATTCACAGGCCTTGAGGGAGGGGGGGGGAGGTCGAGGAGCGGCCCAGGATCGCTTCACTGTGCTTCATCACAGCGCCATTGACTGCGCTCGAACCTAAGCGTGCGAAGCGCGCGTGGTTCTACTTGGGTTGTTTGTTGAAAGTCGTATCGGGTATACGCTGCTCATGTGTTCGCCATCCGACGTGGGTGCCTTCCCCATAGTCCCTAAGCCTGGATACCTTCCCAGCGCTTCAGCGTCGTTTTACCAGATCAAGACGGAAGGCCTGCTGCAATGTCGATTTTTTTCAGAACGGCAAGTTGTCCTTGGGGAAGGCGCCGGTCAGAGGAGGGCCAGCTGCCGAGACGTCGGCGACCCTCGTCCCGTCGGCTCGGCTCGGCTCGGAGGCGCCTCGGGTCTCCTGGTGCTGGCGCGCGCGGCGGCCAGGCGGAGACGCTGCCCGTGCACTTTGAATTCACCACCGCTCGACGATGTAGTGTTTTCCGAATCTGCAGGGTGTGCCCTTTCCATTTTCTGTGCGCTTCAGTGTTGGCTCCGACCTCAGCTGTTGGTGCACTGCGAAGCGCCTCGGGGCCTGCTCACCCGAGTCGTTTTTTTGCTCAAGCGGGTGCCTCCCCCCTTCCTTCAATTCCCGCGAAAAACGTACTTCGGCTTCCTCTCCTGTCTGGGCGGCAGTGCCGATGCCTCTCGGCGGGTGCCGAATCTGGGGCAGCTTTTTTGGCCTCCGCTTCTTCGGGTCTCCACTGAATTCGGTGACCGTTCTGTTGATGTCAAACCCGATGTTGCAACTTATCAGTGTCGGGCACGTTGTGCCTCTTAGAACTGCCGTGCATGCTGGTGCGCTCGATGTGGGTCGTGATGACGTGCTGACTGACGCTCGCCAGCACGTGAGGCTCCTGTATCTCCTCCTGGATGTTGTGAGCGCTGCTGTGTTTCTCGGTAGTCTCGGCGGCCTGAGCGTCTCCAAAGTTGCTTGCGGTATCCTCGCTGATGGTGCCGATGGTGCCCGTATCTGTGGAGCCGCTTTTAGAGGTATTGTTGAACGTGTCGCAGTCGAAGGAGTTGTTCTCGCCCCTCGTGGACTCGACGATCTGCTCGGCGTCGCAGAGCCCGTACTGCAAGAAGCGGCCTGAAAGTCGCTGTCGGCCCACTTGGTGAGGCACGTTGACCCCCGCCGCACTGGCCAGACTGGTCGCGGCCTCGGCCTTGTTCGCAATGGCTCTCAGCGCGTGCCAGCGCTCCCGCAGGAGCTGCACGGCGGCCGCGCATCAGGCCAGCCCCCCCCCCCCCCCCCTCCAGACGCGCGCGCCGTTGCGGGCGCGACGCCGGCCAGGAGGCATGCTTCCTTCCGCGGTCAAAACGCTGGAGCAGACGGATGTGCCCCGAGAGAAGTGGCCTCCTTCTCCTGATCCTCCCCCCCCTCCTCCTCCTCCTCCTCCTCCTCCGCCTCCTCCTCCTCCTCCTCCTCCATCTCCTGCATCATCTCCTCCCCCTCCTCCTCCTCCTCCTCCTCCTCCTCCGTAGCCATTTTGGCTCAAGATGCCTAGTTCCACAAGGGAACAAGTGGATACCGCTAGTCCGCGGCCAGTGCCAGGGCTCTTGAGCCCGACAGCTTTGTTCAACTCTCCGTGTGCCTCCTGCAGCCCGCAGGTGAGCTTTCTCTGTTCCTCAGCTCGTCCATGGCGCCTCCGCAGCAGCGCAGCGCCTACGTCAAGTGCTACTCCTGCTCGTACGCCTGGAACTGGAAGACCAAGCAGACGTGCTACTGGTGCAGCAAAGCCTTGGCGCCGTGGACAGATACCCCGCCTCCAGTTCAAGGTGCTTGGGCGGCCCGCGCCACAGCCGCAGCCCAGGCCGACTCCAACTGCACCCAGCAGCCCAGCCCCGAGGGTGGATGGGAACCGTGGTCTTCATGGCCCAAGTCCCGCCGCCGCCGCGGCAAAGGCAATGGCAAGGACCAAGAGGACGATTGGTGGGCCAGCAAGAACGACACCCCCAAGGCGCGCTCCGCAGAGGACATCCTGGCGGAGCTCCAGGCGATCGCCCCTCACATCGACAAGGCAGCCATCGACGGCATCAAGTCGCAGATTCCGCCGCCCCAGCCGCAGAAGCCAGCCGACCTCAACGACATCTACAGCCGCGCCCAGGCTACGGAGCGCCGCTGCAAGAACAATCTGGAGAGGCTGCTCGAAAGCGAGCAAAAGGCGCTCAGCTGGTACACCGAGCGCAAGGCGGCGTCGGAGGAGGCCGCCTACAAGTTGGCAGAAGCCCAGGCCGAGGCCCAAGCGGCTCTCGATGCACCCCAAGTCGCTCGCAAGGGCGGCACTGCTACCCCCACGGCCTCGCAGCAGAACCCGACTTTCAACCTCACCAGCCTCCTCGAGGACGGCGA